AAGAGAGATACTTTGAGATTATATTAAACTAAGAAAACCAACTTACAAAATGAACTATTTATTAAAGTATTTAAAAGGATTTTCTCTGGGTATAGCAGAAAGGTTCAGAATTGAGGCTCACTGCATGGATTTCATATTGTTTGTAAGCTGATCACTTATGCTGAAAACCAAACGCAGACTAACATGTCCATGCATCTTCTGGGTTGGATCTGGCTCACCTCTATTGAGTTAAGTGTGCAACCAGAGCAATTGCTTGTTTGGCTGTGCCTGTCAGCATACACATGCTTGCGCTGTGTGTGTGCACATGCACACATGTGGCCCTTTGATTCCAGGATCTTCCAGTAGAAGCTGACACTAGAGAAAACTCCATCAGGGTATTTCAGGATGCATCTTGCTACATTAAGCAGCACAGATAATGACTTAACAGACTTAATCCTTAAAAGGAGGTTGGTTTGGTGTGGGGTTTTTTTGTTTGTTTGTTTTTAAATTAAAGTGGGGTTTTTTTATTATTATGGCTCCCACTGCTGTATCTAAATTTTTGTTCAAGGTTATTACTCTAGTATTTTGTTGGTCATTGGTTGGTCTAATGATAACATCTGCATCATAGTAAACGGATTGAATGAAACATCCCAGAAGAATAGTAGAATCATGTGACTGCATATCTGTTGCTGATTCACTGTTAGAATGGGAAAACCCCATTTCTATTTTAGTCTTTCTACCTACGATCTGCAAACAATACATTTTCTTACTTTGATTGCAATTTTGACATTTAAAGAAATGCTTGCTGTAATGAGGCTTCTGTATTTTGTTCAGTATGAGAACATTTCGAGTATTTACATAATTAGAATATTAAGAGACTATATATCATAATGTAGAAAACAAATTTTGCTCTCATTAAAAAAAAAAAAACCCAAAACAAAGCACAAGACCAACCCTAAATGCAAACTCCCACACTCAAATCTTCTAGATTGTTCATTAGGCACAGATATAGGAACATGGGGAATAAAGAAGCTTTATATAGTTAAGAAGGAAAAGAGAGGAGCCTTTTATTATTCTTGTTCAGAAGATGCTCTTTTTACCTCATTAATGTTATGATTGTTTTATTACTGAGGCAAATACAAAAAATGGTTATGAGGAAGAAAATAAAAATTCTAACGAAGATGATGCCTGTAACTGCTCTTAGCAAACCAACTGAGAAAAGATAAAACTCTTGCCCTGTTTTGACAAAGCTGCTTGTTCTAGCTGTACTGAATGCAGGAATTATAAAAACAAAATAGGATTCTTGTTACCCTCATTTGCATGTTAAATATTCTGGATGTTTTTCCAGCTCCCAGTTATTTCAAAGCAGTCAGAGTGTCTGAGCTCTGGGAACAAACCAAATGACTTACAGCACTCTTTGGTGTGCAGATGACCCCTTCCCTAAAAATCTGCTCGTCCAAAGTGGACCAAGTTGATGATTGTACTCTTTGAAATCGTAATAGGCTGCTGGGAGAAAATTCCCTTCATATCAGCTTCTGAAGTACGTGGCTAAAGAGGATATTTGAGAGGGTACAGATAGGCAAACAGCATTTATTTGCTCAGTGATGAAAGTCATTAACATTACTGTTTTCTTCGTAGTCAAATTTGAAATAGCTTGAATGCATAAAGCAAATAAGAAGTAGCCCAACAGCGAAGTGCTTTAGACTAAGTTCAGTTGCTCTTTAAATCAGGCATTAGCCTACGCTATTTAACACATACAAAATGCCTGTATGAGGATGAATTTCAGATCAGAAAGTTGGTATTTTAATAGTTTAGTGCTCTATCCACTGAAGAAAAAAAAAAAATCCCAATCAAACCGCACAAAAAACCCCTACAACAGATCTGTAGGAGGACTTGGGCTTTTGTCAAGTGGTATCTGTGTCAAAATAAATGAGGCAGCTCATCACAAGGGAAGTATCCCTAACGATCCATTAACTTTAATGGGCTCCAGATCGTTGCTCAGAGAAGAGTTCATGAGCCTTCTGGACAGTTGGACAGTGTCACCTTTAATACTCAGTAACAATCAAAAGGCAAATGGTTAGGATAGGAACAGAATGAATTATTGTTGTATCTTGGTAAATCAAGAAGTGTGTCCCAGACCTTTTTTGTGCACTTTATGCAATAGTTAGTTTCCCTTCTTGGGAAGGAATTAGTAGAGCTAGGAAGGGTGAGGGTGAAGGGAAAACAGATCTGCAATGAAATGGCTTCTGTATCAAGAAAAATTAAGCAGCACCGACTCAGTAAAGGTGTGACAAAATTGTGTAAAGTTGGAAATGGGGATTATGAACAGGAGGCAATTGTTCACTGTTTCTCTGAAGATGCGAGCTGAAGGATATCAAGTGAAACTATCAGGCAGCAGGTTTAAAATCAAAGGAAGTGGTTTTCATGCCACACATAATAAGGTGTGGAGCTCACTGCCGCAGGATGGTAGTAGAGGTCAAAAATAAGAATGTACTCAAAAGGGGCAGGACAAATTCAGAGAAAAGTTTGTCAGAGGCTGGCCAGTGTAGACTGTTGATGCAGCCTCTGCACTGGGGTGCCCGAAAGCTGTAGAGCCCCAGAAGCTGGGGGCAGTATGGAGGGCTTGCCTTGCTGCTTGCGCTCAGTCTGTTTGCAACACTGGAGATGGCATCGTGGGCTTCAGACACTACAGATCTGAGCCAGTATATCTAGCTTAATGGTCTTCACCACCTTGCCTCCTTTCACCAATTACAAGTTATAGCCAGCCTTTAACTTCTTTTTCTTTCTCTTATGCACACACTTTTTTCTTACTCCACCAGGAAATTAACTCTTTCTTTCTCCAAACTTGGTGGATACACTGCTCCTCTTTCAAGCTTCTTGATTTTTATTTTTCCCTGGAAAGTTACCCTTGAGTCTTATTACTCTTTCTGGGAATGCTAGTGCATCATTTGTTTAAATGCATCAGCCTTACATAGGTATGCATCTTACTATATACCTGTTGAGCTCTCCTGACTGCCTGTGGTCTAATTGACACACCCATCTTCCCTGGAAGCTGCAGGGATGTCTGTTTGATTTCTTTTTTCCCCTTGTGTGAACTTGGCACCAAGCAGATCTAATGATGCGAAGGTCGTGTGTAGTCAGGAACAAGGAACGGGAGCAGGGATTGTGGTACACCAAAGCCCTTGAGGATCTTGTCTGTAAGTGTGGCCAGAGAATGATAGTGTATCTGGCAGGAAACCTTTCTTCTCCACTCGTGCATAAATTTACTTGCATTTCTCAGTTCTGGAGTGGGCAGGACAGAGAGCTACTTGTCCTTTCTCCCACTATGTCTTTCCAGGAGCAAGAAATACATGCCTGGTAGGTCCATTCAGGCACCTCTCTGTTCCTGCTATTGAACCCCTGCATTAGGGGAATGAAGAAATATCAGTAGGTGCCTCAAGTAGGCTACTTCAAACTCTTGAAATTCCTAAATAATAGCAAATTGTTCAGAATTTAATATTTTAGCATGTAGTAAAGAAACCATTTTATTTTTGTGTGTGAGATCACTGGGTGCAGTCTGGTTTTGCCTTTGTTCTGCTATCTAGTTTGATGGATAGGTCAGGCACAACCTTTTATAAAAACTATTTTTTTTTTTTTTCTTAGGTTATCCTACCTTTTCAGGTAGGTTGAGTTGAGGAATTTTCATACATCTAGACTTCTTCCACCCACATGGGTGTGGTGGGATTTAATTTCTGAGCCTGTGTAAGTGCCATAGGAGTTCAAAGCAAGTACTGCTGTTCCTATTTCCACGTCTAAATCGCTTGTACCTAGTGTACACAGACCTGGAAGCAGGAGGGCTGTGTTCTGGTCTGCTCCTCTTGGGTTCTTCCCAGGATAGTGCTGGGAAGCAGAAGCTGGATGAAGTTACTTTGTAGTGCATAGCTGGCCTGTAAGTCTAACAGGAGCTGTCTGCATTGGATAATAATAACGTTCATTGAAACAATGCTAATAATCAGCGTCCATTCTTGGGATGCGCAAATTGGAATGTACAATGAGTTGCAAGTACAAGGCAGCCCTGATAATTGAGGAACAATTTGCTTAATTATGTTGTTCTTGGTCAATGTATCATTAAAACAATGAAAAAGTTAAATGATTGTTTAGTATTTGGCAGTGTCAATATTTTCCAGTCTCCCAGATGATTTAATAGTCAGGATACATGTATTTGGAAGGAAAAAAGAAGTCACTCTAGAATATACATGAATAGGAAGTGGATAAGAATTATAAAGACAAGGTTATTTAAAAAAAAAACAACAACCCACTACATCTCCCCCCCCCCCCCCCCCCA